ATAGCACTCCTCTTATATGCAGATGATACAGTGTATCTCTCGAGGACCCCAGTTGGTCTTCAGAGAGCACTACATACACTCCACAAGTATTGTCAGCAAAATCGGTTAGAAATTAATTATGATAAAACAAAAATAATGTCTTTTGCGAAACCACCAAAGACTTACACATGGTATATTAATAAGAATAAGATAGAGCAGGTACATTACTACAAATATTTGGGGGTAATTGTTCAGGATAACGGTAAGAAAAGTACCCTCATAAAGCATGCTTCTGCCAATGCACAAAAGAGTGCTGGAGCAATTCAAAAATATTATTGGACTCGAGGGGGACGCAATGTGGCAGCAGCTATTAAGCTTTTTACCATGAAATCCTTAATGCAAATGTTATCTGCAGCTCCATTTAGTATTAGTTCTAATATTATATTGATGGAGAGGGTCCAGTCCAAATTCCTAAGGGCAGTTTTTCGAACTCCATCCAATGCATCAAATGCAGCAATTAGAATAGAGACGGGAATGGTGATGGTAGAAGCTAGGATGTGGATAGCAGTTTTCAGATATTGGTTGAAAGTAGCCTACAGTGAGTATGGGATTGCTCATTTGATTTTAAAAGAAGAATTTACATCACCATGGCTCATTATGCTGAAAAAGAAATTAGGTTATTATGTACTATCAGAACAGTATCTATTGTCTATGCACCAGGATCAAGCAAGGTCTGTGGTAAAACAAGGATTCTAGATGTTGAAAGACAACACAATCTGAATAGATTGAAAAGTGATATAATTGATTTGAACACCCTAAATAGGCCCTTATTGATGCCTTATGTTAACAGTTTAGAGAATCCCAATTATAGGAGGGCGTTCACTCTGCTAAGATACGATATGCTGCCTACTGCAGTACTGGAAGGCAAATATAAGACTCCTTTAGAAGAATGCCTATGCCGATGTGGGGATGGGAGTGTGGAGACATTAATCCATGTAATTTTTGACTGTAAAAATCTATAAACAGATTCGGGAGGCATTTGTAGTATCAGCAATTTCTAGTTTCCCAGGGAAAGATCAAAAAAGTCTCCTCAAGAAAATGCTCGCTGATAGAAACAGAGATGTCACCTTCAAAATTGCTAAGTATGGTTGGCTGGCAATTAAGCTGAGGAAAATATGGACAAGTCATGCTAGTTGATATTTTAGAGATGGTTTTATAAGTAATTTAAGTTATATCACTTAATATTTTAGGTTATTAGTGGTTTATTTATGTATTTTACAAATATGATATTCCTGTATAGGGAACAGGAATGTTTTAAGTTTGGGGTTTTACTTCTTTTACTGTGTAGTGGTCAATGACTGTAATAAATTTACTTACTTACTTGCCCAATCAGCATGCCTGCTTTCTCATTGCAGACTTGGCAGTTCATCTCCAGGGAACACTTCTAAGGAGATACTTATGGAGCTGCAGAGACATTCCAAGTTTACAGAGGATCCCCGTAGGCCAGCCAAAACCATGGAACGCTCCTCTCCGCAAGACTCAAGTAACTTGGGGCACATCAAGCTGGAACTGGAGGATGAGGGAGGGGAAGTCCAAATTTCACCTCCTAAACTGTCTCGCCCACCAGTGCCTTCTCCCGCGGGTGCCCTTCTTCAGGGTTTGAACAGGTTGCCCGGACTAAGCAAACAGGCCCACATTCATGTGGGGACAACCGGCATGGAACAAGGAGAAACCTCTCGCCTGGAGCGCTGCGTGTTGATTGACAGCCAGGGGCTCCCATCCACGGTACTGGTAGAAGAGGGGGTGGGGTCAGCGGAGGCGACTGCAGGAGGCACAGAGGGTGGAGGGAGTGGGGGGTCCTCGCATAAGGTGTACTGCTGTCCAGTGTGTTCGCGAACGTTTGAGTACCTGTCTTACCTGCAGCGCCACAGCATCACCCACTCGGAAAACAAGCCTCACAGGTGCCGAACGTGTGGTAAGGCCTTCAAGCGCGCATCCCACTTGGAACGCCACAAATACACCCACTCTGGCCGTAAGCCCTATGAATGCCCCATCTGCCATCGAAGTTTCCGTGACTCTGGGGAGCTCTTTCACCACCAGTGGCTGCACACGGGCAGCTGGCCCTACAAATGTGAAGCATGCCACATGCGCTTCGTCGAGCGCAACACTCTTCAGAGGCACGTCCTCCGGAAGCACCGTCTACAGCTCCCCCCGACACCGTAGAGACTGGCCTTCTGGGATGTAGACCCCACTGCCTGTCCAGACCTCAGGAATCTACTTCCTGGGACTTGCTGGCATCTGTGTATGTAATGGCAATCTTAGCCTGAACATATTTGCTCTTGTCTTATGGAACTGGTACATCCACAGGTGCCAATCAATGGCTTGCGATTCCCTGGAGGAAGCTGAAGGGAGAACCTCACCCACCGATGCCTGAAACTCTCTGGAATGGAAGAGGCAGGTTTCTGAGACCCAGCATGGACATTGCCCGTCTTCTCATGCTGCAGGGACTGGCCTCTACCCTCTCTCTAGATACTCTAGTTTGTCATAACTTCACGAGCATCTAATAAACTCACAGGGAGCGCCATTCCTTTCTGTTTCATCCTGGTGACCTTTTGCCCCTGTAGGTCATATGCATCTACCCTTGGATACACCGGCCTAGCATTATCTGCCTCTGCAACAGACAGCATGGCCTACTGGCATCCAGGTTTGTCCAATCCTATGACTCTGTGGCAGGGAGAATCCAGCCCACTTGGCCCAGGCCTTGCACTTAATAGACAGGCACTGTCCCCCACCGTGTATGCCTGAAGGACATGGTGTCATGAAGCCTGTAGCCTGGCAATGCCTACCCCTGCACATCTGTTAATAGCTCAACCTCTTGCTTGCCTGGCCTTGAATGGGTAGCTCTCTGCAGAGGGTTATCCTATATCCCTTTCAGATGCTCATTGGCCTGGAAACAGCATAGAGACCCTCAGTGTGGCAAACAAAACTGGGGTTCACTCATTTTATAAAGACCTGCTTCACAAATACGGAAAGTGTGAACTCCTATTGGTCTGGGGAAAATGAACTGGTGGGGTGAAGGCCACCCCTTCCTCCACAATTGCCAGCTACAGATTTGAACTGAGTTTTCGGAATGTGTGAACTCCCTTGAGAAGCCTCATTGGGAAGAGCTTGGCATCCCCCTGGAGTAGAATATCACCCCACAATATGCAGAGAATAGTTACAAGAATGGGCACAGTAATAAGACCAATGAAAAAAGGAAAAAGAACTGTGACAATTTAGCGCTTGGTAACCTTTACCTAATATATTCATAAATCATAATATACAATAACAGAAAATAAGTAATATATATAGTGAATGTAGATGGTGGTCTCCGGAATGATGTTCTTATGATGTTCAATACCTAATCAGTGGGGTCGTGATCTATTTCCTTGTAATAATCCTCATCTGATAACTATGTGCTTCCTGAATATAGTCTGTGCGATCTAATAGAACTATCCCCCCACCTTTGTCCGCCCCTTTAACTACTATAGATGTATCTTTAGCTATGTCATGTAATGATTCCTCTTACTCACGAGTAAGATTATGCTTGAGTCTTTTTTTCTGTGACTCTAAAAGTTGAATATCTTCAGTAACTCGTCTTTCAAACACTGATATGGATGGTACTGGTACAAATTTGGATTTATTTCTAGGCAATTTTGGGGTACAGAAGTCAGTCTCTCCAAAAAACATTCTTAACATTTATGTATGTGGAGCGATGTAATTATTATTGAATAACAATGAAAATGTATTGTAACAGCTATTGTTGCACTTTTTAGAATCAACAGTATATTTTCAATACGTCACCAAGAGAAATGAATTGTTGAAAGACAGTTTATGTAAGGTTTCATACTATTTTTATTCTTATTCATATTATATATTTGCACACTGTTATATATATTTTTAAATGAGACTTGTATTGTTGTATTTGATAAGGTACACATCCTTGTTCAGAAGATCATTGTCGAAACGGCACACCATTCCGGAGACCACCGTCTACATTCACTATATAACTTATTTTCTGTTATTGTATATTATGATTTATGAATATATTACCAAGCGCTAAATTGTCACAGTTCTTTTTCCTTTTTTCATTGGTAGAATATCACCCCAACACACCTGGACCCACATTTCCTACCCCCCCCCAATCCCCAGTAACAAACAATATGAAGCTGGTCGTGGAGGTGTGGTTTTTTAGTTCCTTGCAGGAGTCCCAGTGGCACCTTAAAAAACATAACAAAAATGTATCCCAGTATAATCTTAGGTGCCTGGCACCTGATGATGTGAGTTCTGACTTGTGGAAGTTGATGCTGGAATGCATTTTGTTAGTCTTCATGGTTAAACAGAAGGAGGAGCCTGGTGGATTCCATTTACCTTTAAGATTGTTTTAGAGGGTAGCCATGTCGGTTTGCAGACAACCAGCTAGATTCGAGTCCAGTAGAACCTTGGGCCAGGGGTCCCCAACATGGTGCCCACCAAGGGTTTTTAGAAAGTGGGCGGGCCAGGTGGGGCTTTTTCATGGCAGGGCTTCCGACTTGCCCCTGAAGATCTGATTGGCCATGCAGATCAAAATAACTTTTTTAAGTGCTTGTCTTATTATCTCAGTGTTTGTCTTCTTCTCTCTCACCCCCTTCTTTCCCAGTGTATTTTTTAATTACCCACTTCGTTGCTGAAATGGTCTCTCTCTTAATAAATTGGGGGAATTAGCTCTATAGAGATAGAGCGTGGGTAACTGGGGATCTCCACCAATGTTTATGGGGTTTTCCCCTTAGAGTTCTTTCAAAATAAACCAGGCAGTTGTTCACCCAGAAAGCTTTTTATTTAAAGAGCGTAAAAGAGAAATACACACAAACAAGAACTAGGATTGCCAAATGGGCCCGGGGGGCGGGGAATCCCCCGCTTCGGAGCCCCGATTTCCGCCCCGGTGGAATCGGGGCCTGGGGGAACCCCGCCCCCAAAGCTGCATCACCAGAGGTGATGCAGCCATGTTGCTGACGTTGGGGGCGTGGCTGAGCTCGTTGAAGCACGTTGCTGACGTTGGGGGTGTGGCTGAGCTCGTCGGGGGGAAAACCATATGGTTTTTTCCCCGACAAGCCCGGCCACGCCCCCAACGTCGCACGTCACTTCCGGCGACGTGCTGCCAGCGCAACCTCCCGGACGCCAGTAAGGCTCCCCCACTTCGAGGGGTGAGTCAATTTGGCAACCCTAACAAGAACACATTTCAACACATACGAGGCTATCTAAGAAAACCGGGGAGGAGTGGGGAGAAAGTGATTTGGGTAGGCAAATATTTACCAGTCTAGAAGATCAAGGTCCATGGAAGCTGTAGCAAAATGGCTAATGTTTCATGGAGGAAAAGAAGATGGCCCACATGCAGGTGGGGGTGTGAGGTATGGCACTGAGAACACCCACACACAGGCTGTTCCCTGGGGCTATGCTGATGTGCCTGCCCCCAAAACCGTGCCTTGATGAGATCTCTGGAGTTTGAACAATAAGTTAGGAGGAGCTTGAGGGATTTACCGGGGTGCAACTGTAGGTGCTGATGTTTGCTTGATGACCCTTGTTTCCTGGACGGGAAGACTGTCAAGTTCAGAAATAGTGTTAATGGGGAATTTCACATTACCCAGTTTCACCCGGTTTCAAGCCAGTAATCATCCGTTTTGAAGTGAACTGATACAGGGCTTCCATTTCACACAGGGCTTGCCCCTATCGGAAATGAGACGGATCGGAAGCGGTTTGGCATTTCAGACTTGCACTGCTTTGTTTTCCCGCCATTTTCCTCCCACGCGGGTGATCGATTTTTTTTTTTAACGTTCGATTTATAGCGTTATATCGCTATACCGGAACTCCAAACGATGCCTCGACTCCACTGGGATACATGCGATGGCTACATCTGCCCCCTGGAAACAATTACCCCATTGGACTGCAGGTTTCCAGGGGGACATCAGGCTAATGTTGCTAACCCTTCCATGCCCAGAGACAAGTCAGGGGAAGGTGAAGGGGTTGTCAGTTTGCCCCCTGGAAACAAGTGGCAGGCTGGTCTGGGTAAGTGGTTTTGTGTAACTGTGTGAGAGGCTACTGATCATCATGGTCTCAATAACTACCTTGCTGCAACTGTATCAAAATAACGGTAACATGCAGTCATAATAACAACAAATATAATTTTGCTCAAACATGACAGTTCCTCAAGGCAGTCTTTAAGAAATTCAATGAAATCAAGACGTTTACCAACCTGAAGATTCTGCCTGTTCAAACATGTTCCTTTGGCATCTTCATCACAGCACTTCTCATGATGTTGTTTCATTCAGGCCATCAGGCCTGGCATTTTTTTGTTGCAGTGTTTGTATTTTGCACACATGCCAGTCTTACCCATAGGAAGGAAGGAAGGAAGGAAGGAAGGAAGGAAGGAAGGAAGGAAGGAAGGAAGGAAGGAAGGAGAGAGACAGAGTTGCCAACAGGCCTGGAAAAAAATGGCTTATCCCTTTAAGTAAGGCTTAATGTGTAGGAATGGCCAGTTGAAGCTTTTCATGGCATGGAGGTCAAGACCATCACCTGATAAATGACTTCCTTAAAGGGACAGGACAAATTTCTCCAGGCCATCTGGCATCCCTACAGATTCTTACGCAAGCAGTAGTGGTTAAGTGCGTTGGTATCTGGATAGGGTAAGAAGTGGGCGGGCTTAGCAGCCTGGATAACTGGGTTCTCCGTAGAGTTTAACCTGTGTGTGTGTTCGTGTGTCTGCGTGTGCATATTTTAATTCCCGCTGAGGCCGACGGGGGAGGAGGGAGAACGTGGCCCCAAAACCTTAGCACAAGACGAGCTGTCTGGGGGTTCAAGTCCCAATCCGGGCACGCCAGACTCTCCTCCCTCCGTTGGTGCCAGCTGAAAAAGGGGGCCCGACTTACCTGCGATGCCTCTCAGTCGGGGGCTCAGCCTCGAGGAGGTGCCGGCTCTGCCTGGCGGGAGGAGGAGGAGAGGGCTTCCTAGCGTGTTCCAAGGCTGCAAAGAGATTCCGGGGCTGCTGCGGGCCAAGGAAGCGCTCCTTGGAGCAAAGGGAGGGAGGGTCTAGTGGGGGGAGTGCGGAGGGCCCTGGGGTCCCGGGTCCTTCGGGAGGTGCGTGAGAACCTGCCCCCTTCCCCTGCCCGGCGGGGTGGGGTGGGAGAGTAGCGTTTGTCCGGGAACCTCTCCATCACGAGCCGATGGGAGAAGCCGCCGCGTTTCCGTCAGGACTCTTTTTGCTGTGACAGCCACTCCGCCTCCTTCTCCTCCACCTTCAACCCCCCCCCCCCTCCAGGGACTAACCCCTTCACCCCCCCCCCCCCATACCTAGATCTTCCCTTCCTCTCCCTCGGATATGTCCCCGTCTTCTTTCATCCTTTAGTTTTCTTCCCTCTTCCTTTAGGAAATTGGATATGATATTGTGGCTGATCGGGCTGGAGGGAAAGGAGCGATAGGTACCCTGACCTGGATCTTCCACTGTTGCTCTTTTGGGGGGCGAGGGCTGGGGAGGGGCTGCAGCAAGCACCTTTGGAAGATTATCCTGATTTGCACCCACTCGTCACAGGGACCCTTCAAAGGGTGGGGAGCGGAGGGGATGGTAGCTGCCAACTTCACCAGACCTCAGGACCAATAAGCAGCACGGATCTTTTCACCCTCGTCAGGATGCGTTGGCGTTGCTTGCTGTCAACTGTGCCCACTGGATGGAGGCCACCTCTTGTGCACCGTTTCTTCAAGATCGCCACCCCTTGCTGAGCTTGGGAGACCTTACAGCTTCTTGGATTGGCACTTGCAGATCAGACTGGGGCTGTCTGCTGTACCGCCAGTGCTAAAGCGGCATTCTTCATTCCTTTCCTTCATCCTGGAAACTTGGGACTGGGGATGTGCTCTGCCAGCCACAGCCGAACACGTGGCCTGGGCTTGTTACTGCGTCACTTAAACCGCTGCAGACCACCAACCAATATTACCATCTTGGACTGATAGGATCTCTCCGCTGGGATGTTACTGTTTCCATTGCTCAGCCCTCCAAGGTGGTCGCAAAGGGCACGTTCTGGTGCCCACCCAGCTTGGCATGCAACTTTGATGCAGAAATGAGAGCCAAGATGTACACTTAGGGGCATCGTCCATGCAGGGTAAGTTCAGTTGAGAAAAATAAAGATGACAGGTGTGTGTGTGTATGATGGGATGATAGTGGCTTATAAAATTATGCATGGGGTGAAGAAAGTGGTTAGACAGAAGATTGGCCTTCCTGTCATAATACTAGAACTTGGGAGCACCCAGTGAAGTTGATGGGTAATAGATTCAGGACAGACAAAAGGAAAGACTATGTCACTCAACAGGTAGCTAAGCTGTGGAATCAATTGCCACAGGATGTAGTGATGGCCACTAACATCATAAATAGCTTTAACGGGGATTGGGCAGATTCATGGGGGATAGGTCTATCAGTGTCTCCTAGCCATGATGGATAAAGGGAACCTCCACATCCTGGGGTTGTAGATCTCTGAATTAGGAAGCAACATTGACCTCTGTGACGTGTTTGTTTGCAATGGGTTGGCCGTGGCGTGGAACAGGATGCTGGAGTAGATGGACCACTGGACTGGTACGGCAAAGTGCTTCTTTCTATTCTTATGACCTGTTGGCCTGTTGAAGGAAGGGTCAAGTAGGATTGTGGGTAGGACATACTGATGCCTTGAAAAGGTGTTCCAGCTCCAATTGCCGAGCCGTTTCCACTGCACTTCTCAACAGCCTCAAGTTCCTCTTACCTGGTTCACCCTAACTCTGACCATGCTAGCCTTTCTTATCAGCTCTGATAGCTAAATGGGACCCTAATGGTCAGAGGCAGTAGACATGGCGGACCAACTATAGGGGAACACTGTTGCCTTCATACTTTCCTTGTAAGCTTTCCAGAAGCATATGGCTGACCACTGTTGGAAGTACAGTGATGGACTAGACAAAGGCATGTGACTTGTACAAGACCGCAAACTGAAGAAGCAGAGGAGAGGTCTAAGCCCCAAATCCCTCCTTTGACCCAACAAACACCCCAGCACCAGCATGCATGGATATCGCTCATCACAATAACAATAACAGACAGGGATTCTTCAAAATTGTGAATGAAACATTCTTGCCCAAAACTGAAGTATTAATCCCTCAAATAATTGTTTCAATATTCTTAGAAACTTATTAAGAACTTCCTGATCATATTTTAGAAGCTCATACTCCCGTGTAATCCCCCACTGGGTGGGGATGAAATCTTACCCTCTCAGACTGTCTTGACGTCCTAGCCAAATTTTATTTCAGTTCCTTTGCCTTCAGTTTGGACTGGACTTAATGTCCAATGAAGTGCATCGTTTTTGGACCAAAACCTGGTTAGCATTTTCCATACAAGATGGTTGTATTCACAGGGAGAAAAACAGCCAAGTATATTTCAGGAAGTTTAGCAGGAATTTTACTTCTAGAGCGGTCATCAGCTCTTTGCTTCCCACTTTGAGTAATGCCTGTGTACGTTTCCTAGATTTGTAGTCAATCAAACTGCAAAGGGAAGACGGATGAGATGGAACAGATTATTCTGGCACCAGCTGGAATATTTTGTTGTGGTTTGGAGCTCGAGGTTTGTGACATTCTCAAGAACAGGAAAGCTACAGTATAATCATGTGTGTGTGTGTCTGGAAACAAGTCCTACCGTATCCCATGGACTTATTTCTAAGTGGTATGAGGAGGACTGAGCTAATCAGTGGAGTTGTCATTGGTGGTGCTGCTAGGTAAGGGTATACTTGTTTAATTCGTAGGGTTGTTTTGGGTCTGGTCTGTTGTTGACCTGGCCATGGAGAAGAAAATAGGCAAGATCTCTTTCCTTCTAACAATTAGTGGTAACTTTTCGTATTGAACTGCAAGGTATTTTTCCTTATGAGTCACAAAAGAATCTCAAATCTTGAGTGTTCAGTAATATCTGGATACACTTAAATGGAATAATAATAAAATTGTTTAAAATAAAATTATTTATCAAGTACAGATCTTGAATTTGTTGGCATTGCTGCATTTCTAAGCATAAATCCATGGAAGTCGATGGATTTAGAAGGGTTTAACTCTGCTTAGGATCGACCTTTGATGTGCATAACTCTTACTTGCCTAATCAGCATGCCTGCTTTCTCATTGCAGACTTGGCAGCTCATCTCCAGGGAACGCTTCTAAGGAGATACTTATGGAGCTGCAGAGACATTCCAAGTCTACAGAGGATCCCCGTAGACCAGCCGAAACCATGGAACGTTCCTCTCTGCAAGACCCCACAAGTAACTTGGGGCACATCAAGCTGGAACTGGAGGATGAGGGAGGGGAAGTCCAGATTTCACCTCCTAAACTGTCTCGCCCACCAGTGCCTTCTCCCGCGGGTGCCCTTCTTCAGGGTTTGAATGGGTTGCCCGGAGCAGGCAAACAGGCCCACATTCCTGTAGGGACGAGTGGCATGGAACAAGGAGAAACCTCCCGACTGGGGCGCTACTTGTTGATTGACAGCCAGGGGCTGCCATACACGGTACTGGTAGAAGAGGGGGTGGGGTCAGCGGAGGCAACTGCAGGGGGCACAGAGGGTGGATGGAGCGGGGGGCCCTTGCGTAAGGTGTACTGCTGTCCAGTGTGTTCCCGAACATTTGAGTACCTTTCTTACCTGCAGCGCCACAGCATCACCCACTCGGAAAGCAAGCCTCACGTATGCCGAGCTTGCGGCAAAGCCTTCAAGCGCACATCCCACTTGGAGCGCCACAAATACACCCACTCTGGCCGTAAGCCCCACCAATGCCCCATCTGCCAGCGTAGCTTCCGTGACTCTGGGGAGCTCTCACACCACCAGCGGGTGCACACGGGCGAGCGGCCCTACCAATGCGAAGCATGCCACATGCGCTTTGGCGAGCGCAACACTCTTCAGAGGCACATCCGACGGAAGCACCGTCTACAGCTCCTTCCCACACCGTAGAGACTGGCCTTCTGGGGTGTACATTGTGTCAGAGGCATGGAGACCCCCCACTGCCTGTCCAGGCCTTAGGAATCTACGTCCTGGGACTTGCTAACATCCGGGCATACAATGGCAATCTTGGCCTGGACATATTTGCCCTTGTCTTATGGAACTGGTACTTCCACATCTGCCCTGGAGGAATCTAAAGGGAGAACCTCACCCACCAATGCCTAAAATTCTCTGCCGTGGAAGAGGCAGCTTTCTGAGACATCACATGGCCCATCTTCTCATGCTGCAAGGACTGGCCTACCTGCTCTCTAGATACTCCAGTTTGTCATTTCTTCCTGAGCACCTAATAAACTGGCAGGGAGAGCCATTTCACCCTGGTGACCATTGCCCCTGTAAGTCATATGCATCTACCCTTGGATACGCCAGCCTAGCATTATCTGCCTCTGCAATAGACAGCATGACCTGCTAGTATCCAGCTCTGTCCAATCCTATGACTCTGTGGCAGGGAGAATCCAGCCCACTTGGCCCAGGCCTTGCACTTAATAGACAGGCACTGTCCCCCACCGTGTATGCCTGAAGGACATGGTGTCATGAAGCCTGTAGCCTGGCAATGCCTACCCCTTTGTTTACCTCGCCTTGAAAGGGCAGCTCTCTGAGAAGGGTTACCTTGCATCCCTTTCAGGTGCACATTGCCCTGGAAACAGCATGGAGACCCTCAGCATGGCAAACGAAACTCGGTCCCACTCATTTTATAAAGGTATGCTTCACAAATACAGAAAGTATCAGCTTCTTTGGGCCTGGGGAAGATGAACCGGAGGGGCGAAGGCCAGGGGAATATCTCTCCTTCCTCCACAATCGCCAGCTACAGATTTGAATTGAGTTTTCAAAATGTGTGAACTCCCTTGCAGAAGCCTCATTGGGAAGAGCTTGGTGTCCCCCTGGAGTAGGATCTCACCCCAACACACTTCCTTCCTCCCCCTCCATCCCCAGTAACGAACAATATGAAGCCAGTTCCAGAGGGGTAGCTTTTTAGTCCGTTGCAGCAAAATTAAACAGAAGTCCCAGTGGCACCTTAAAGACTAACAAAATGTATTCCAGTATAATAATAATAATAATCGTATGGCATTGTGTGTAGAATAGCCAGGAGACGCTAAGATTGTCCAGCAACCTAAAGTTCTACCTCTTTTAGTGTTTGCACCACTAGGTGGCGAACTAGACTTGTTTTTAAGGCAAGAGACATTTCAGAGGTGGTTTGCCATCGCCTGCCTCTGTGTCACAACCCTGGTATTCCTTGAAGGTTGCAGTTCCAAATACTAGCCAAGGCTGACCCTGCTTAGCTTCCGGGATCTGATGGGATTGGGCTAGCCTGGGCTGTCCAGGTCAGGGCTTATTCCAGTATAATCTTAGGCCAGTCAGAGCTTCCTTCATCAGATGCCTGGCATCCAATGACATGAGCTCTGACTCGTGGAAGCTGATGCTGGGATGCATTTTGTGAGTCTTCAAGGTCAAACAGAAGAAGGAGCCTGATGGATTCCATTTACCTTTAAGATCGTTTCAGAGGGTAGCCATGTTGGTCTGCAGTAGAACAGCTAGATTCGAGTTCAGTAGAGCCTTGGGCCAGGGGTCCCCAACATGGTGCCCACCAGGTGTTTTTAGAAAGTGGGCGGGGGAGGTGGGGCTTTTTCATGGCAGGGCTTCTGACTTGCGCCTGAAGATTTGATTGGCCATGTTGATCAAAATATCATTTTTCAGCGCTTGTTTTATTATCTCAGTGTTTGTTTTATTCTCTCTCTCACCCCTCTTTCCCAGTGTATTTTTTAATTACCCCTCTTCTCCCCTGTTCTTGGGCTTCCTCTGTGTTGTGTATGTGTGTGACCGCCTCCTGTGGCAGCCATTTTGTGGTTGCACCCACCACTTGCTACTGAAGATTTGATTGGCCACGGCCCCTGCCACACGGCAGGGAAACCACGAGGCAAAAGCGCGGCTAATAGAGCCGCTCCAACGTTGAGACGCTGGGGCGGGATCCCACGGATCCCCTGGCCGCAGCGCCTCTTCTCCCCGGCAAGAGCAGACGCCGGGGAGGACAAGCCCGATGGGAGGGGGAGGCTGCCGAACTGCGCAAGCCCGAGCATGCGCAGTACGGCCGGGGGCTGGGATGCGGCGGCGCAAGGACGCGCCGCCGATCCCACGGCTGGCTTGGGGGGCTCCAGACGGCTGCAACCACCTAGATAGGTGGTTCGTTTTTGCAGCGGGGTATCGCCATTTGGGCCGGATCAGGGACGGAGATGGCACGCTCCCCAGATGTTGAGGTGGGATCGCGTCCATTTGCTCCGCCCCTGTTCCGTCCCGCTCCCGTCCCAAATGGGCTCGTATGAACGGGGCCCACATAGATCAAAATATAGTTTTTAAACACTTGTTTTATTATCTCAGGGTTTGTTTTATTCTCTCTTTCCCAGTGTATTTTTATTTACCCCTCTTCTCCCCTGCTCTTGGGCTTCCTCTGTGTGTGTGTGTGTGTTACCACCTCCTGTGGCAGCCATTTTGTAGCTGTGGTAGAATTCCAAAGGTGCCCACATTCTCAAAAAGTTGGGGACCCCTGCCTTAGATGTATCTGATGAAGGATGCTCAAACCACAAAAATCTTGTGGACCTGTAAGGTACTACTGGACTTGAATCAAACCTATTTATCTTTAAGATATTGTGGTTCTTTTCTTTTTTAAAAGCACTTAGGTGGGGAGCAGGGGAACTGAAGGATGAGATATGGGGTATTCCCTTGCAGTTGGCCCTCTGGTCTCTTATTTCCTCCAGACATTTCCAGTTAAAAAGAAAAAGAGTTGGTGATTCTACATTTCCTCTAAAAGACACAGTTAGTTTAGCTCTGGATAAAGACCCCTTCTGGCTGGCTGGCCTTGTTTCATTCTGCCCATTGATCAGATGCAAAGAGTTTTCTAGGCCATTGTGGGGCAGGCAGATTTTAAACCCCAGTTTGCTGGCAGAAGGACACTTTGTGCTTCATCTCTGACTTTTGGCATGTGGGGCGTACGCACCAAGACTGTAGTGGCTTCCTACAATAGATAACACACTTAGGATCTCTGTTTCCTTGACAAGGGGGAATAAGTATAAGAGCCTGATCCACAGCATGTGTTCCAAGGTGCCGGAGAGGCCGGCACCTCCAAAGTTTGCCAGGGAAACCCCTGGGCTGTGTTTCTCCACTTCATATTTAGTGTGGAATCTTTGATCTCTGTGTGTGTCCTTTTTTAATTAAATATAATTCTCTGGGTTTTGGTTCATCTTTGTGTGTCTGGAATAAAGTGATTCTCTGTTACTTCCCATCGTGTAAATGCATTGATAGGAAGCGAACCCTCTGACGCCAGGACTGAGAAGAGTGCCTTCATATCCATGACTTTTTAAAATGCAACAAAGGTTTTTACCAAGGTTTTGGAGATCAGTGGTTTGCTTTGACCATAGAGAAGAGGGCAAGAAAGGGAAGAAGTTTGATTGTACGGGGAGGGGAGTGGGCTGGAGATACACTGGACTCATCATTTTATGCACCAAAAGTTTTTAAAAATCCAAATATGTGTTGAATATGCCGGTTTAGTGCTTGAAATATGCAAATCAATAAAATGTATGCATAGTGCTTGTTTTGCATAAACGTCCTCCGTCACGTGCTTTATTCGGAACCAGACACGTATACGTAAAAAAAAAAAAAGTTAAGTAGGATATTCTTTTAAATGCTTCAGTGCTGTGAAGGTTTGTTCATGAACCTGAGAGTGAAGCCTTTATGGAAGTCATACAAGGCACCAACCTGAATGTGGGAAATCTTTCCATGTTGTGGACTGTACTTTGAAAAACCTGCAACCATGGGGTCTAGAATTTTGTTTTGTAGAAAATGGTTAAGTGCTGTACTTGACTATTTAAATTCTACTTCTAAAAAACAAACTGACACCATCTAGTATAAAGAAAACAGACATCGATGTCGAATAAATGCTTTGATGAGTCCACTTGTTATAGCTGTTCAGAAGATGCCATGCTTTCTGGATATGAAAGTGGTGGTGGGAAGAAGTAGAAGAGGAGGAGGAGGAGACTGGATTTCCCAAAGGAGTCTCAGAGTGGCTTACACTCTCCTTCCCCTTCCCCTCCCTGCAACAGACATCCTGTGAGGTAGGTGGGACTGAGAGAGCTCTTTCAAGAACTGCTTGTGAAAGAACAACTCTGAAAAAACTTGTCACTGACCGAAGGTCACACCAGCAGCTGCATGTAGAGGACTGCTGAATCAAACCTGGTTCTCCCAGATTAGAGTCTTTGTAACTAACCTAGGGTTGCCAGGTCTGGGTTAGAAAATACCTGGAGACTTTGGGGGTGGATCCAGGAGAAGGCAGGGTTTGGGGAGGGGCCTCGCAGGGCTCTTTTTGTAGAAAAAGCCCAGCAGGAACTCATTAGCGTAATAGGCCACACCCAACAGCAGGAACCAATTAGCATATTGGGCCACACCCCTGACAGCACAGCTCATTAGCACATTAGGCCACACCCACATGTTACCAGAAGTGTGCTCATCCAGCCACACCCACCTTTTGCTTCTTATTCTGTTTAGTTGTCAAAACCCAGGGCCTTTTTTTGTAGCAGGAACTCCTTTGCATGTTAGGCCACACACCCCGAATGTAGCCAATCCTCATGAGTTTCTGTTGTTGGGTGTGGCCTATTATGCTCCGTTCAGTTAACCTTTACAGTTGTAATAGTGGGAGATCCCCCGGGCCCCGCCCGGAGGCTGGGAACCCTTACTGACCCAAGGTCACACCAGCCGTTGCATGTGGAGGAGTGGGGAATCAAACCTGGTTCTCCCAGATTAGAGTCTGTGCTCCTAACCACTACACCAAACTGGAAGTACTGTCCAGTTGCAGTCAACTTGTGACCCCCAAAAGGATTTCAATACTAACCGAGGTGGGTTTTGCCTTTGCCTGCCTCTGCATAGCAACCCTGGACTTCCTGGGTGGTCAATTATCCAAGTACTGAACAAGGCTGACCCTTAGCTTCCAAGGCCTGAAGAGATCAGGCTAGCCTGGGCCATCCCGGTCAGGGCATGATATAAAACATTACAGTAGAGCACATCAGCTGCAGATATTTCTGTTTATTCAAAGTAAAAATTTAAAAAATAAAGTACAAATACAGTTAGAGGGCGTCAGCTGTCTTGTCCAATATTGTCTGCCCTGACCGGCAGCAGCTCTCCAGGGTCTCTGGTAGAGAAGTCCTTCCCAGCATCAGGGGTCATTTCGTAGAAAAGGAGGTGCAGGAGCTCATTAGCATAACTCATTAGCATGACTTATTTGCATAGGCCACACCCCCTGACATCACCGGAAGTGTGTCAGAAGGCAACGCCCACCGCTCAGGCTCCACTGGACTGTTTTGGATTGCTAGCTGGGGTGGGGGGACACGCAGATCTGTCCTCGCAGAGGAGGGAGAGCTTGTACCTGAATAAAACTTGGTCTTAAAAGTGCCACTGGACTGTTTTGGACAGGGGGGCCGGGGGGAGCTCTGCAACTTACCTGGCTGCTTCTTGCTCTGACTGAGGGCTGCTGGGAGCAGGGGGTGGGGCTTGTTGCATGTGCCCGCCCCCTGGGCTCTTTACTGCCGGAGCTCCGCTCCTGTGCGCTCCTGCAGGAAGTGACCCCTGCCCAGCACCTACTACCAGTGACTAAACAGAAGAACCCAGGATTCAACCTTGATTCTTGTACATACAGCATGGGCTCTACTGCTGATATATGGCCATTCTCCAACACATAAATCCACTGCTTCTGCAGCTTCATTGACTCAGTTTGTTTCTAGGGCCCAATTCAAAAGGACTGGGTTATCTAAAGGACCGTCTCTGGCCATAGCAACCTGTTTGTGGTCTGAGGCCTTCCCTTGATTTCCAGCTCTGCTTGTATAGAGTGAGACTGGTGACATTTTCAGATATGGGATTATCTGCTTAGCCTCCCTGACCTCAGACCTCTGACACTTCATTAAAGCACTCCTATTTCATAAGGACTTTGGCAATGGGT